TCTGCGCTTAGGAAACAAATATATCGTACAAAATGCATTCATATTTTACAATTACAACATTTGGTACGAGTTAAATAAAATCTTCAGTGATATCAACAGATGTTTAAATGTTAGGGTTCTTGCACACGATTTCATATTTTCATAATATCCAAGTTATTGACAAATATACTAAAATACGGCGTTAAAAGTCTTGTGAGTGTAAGTCGTGAGTGACTGAAAAAGGCTGGGTTTTATATTTTAATCCACATTGAATTTAGGTCTTGCATTCTTATACTCGATCATTCCATATCAGAGCCAATTAATCAACGAAGCTGTGAATGTCAATATGGTTAATAACCACAACTACACAGATAACAAACCAGTTGGTGTTTGTTATTGCGTTCTTTAGTTGAATTTAAATCGTTCGTTATCGTTTGTCGAGTGATTTCTTCAGTCACTTGCGTGGAAGACAAACAATTTTATTTTCCACATATATGTTTTTGAAATGTATTATATAACTGCAGAATAAGATCATTTACATTATTATTATGAAAGCCTTTTGACTTACACAAAGAATAGGAACCGGTAATAATTGCTTTATTGTGGTTGTACGTGTGCAAAAATCCTCAAGAGCAGCATATCTCTTGTTGACGGTAAAACCCAATAATCGATATCAAACAATTTTGTTTTATGCCAGCATTTTTTATCAATTATCTTTAAATTCAACCAATTTAAAAATCGATCCGATTTTGTGCTCACATGAACGATTTAGTCTTTGGCGTCTCCGATAACGATTATTGGTTTCAGCTGTAAATTAAAATGTTCACCCTCTTAAACATTTTTAAGCCCTTGTAACAATTGAACATTCTCAATACTTAGCGAACTAACAAATCAGGAATGGAACAATCCCTGACACTATCATGAAAAAAATCCAAAATATAAATGTATCTCTTTCACAGAATTATTTCACAATACACTATTGCTAAAATTTAAATAATTTAGATTAGGCCGAATACTGTCGTAGATTATTCCTTTAGTAATTTTGGAATGGATTGGACAGATATCTCAACATAGCCATTAACGAGTGTTCAGCCAGTTTCCACTGAGAAAACATCAATACAAAAATATATTACTATTTCATTTATTCCTATTGAAAAGACTGAGATAGCAACATACTTTTTTATAAAGTGGGAACCTTTTAAAATCAATATTTAATATCTGATATTCAATTTTATTCAGCTTACAAGGAGGATGTACTCCGACAGTTTTCCATCTAACCTACATAAAGCGCATATTTAACGTTTTTACAGGCACAATGCTTATTAATACTAAATCCAATTAATTACCACACAACAGAAGTAAATGTTAAAAAAACTTATACTAATTGAAAATACTAGTTTATTTAATATTGCTATATTGTATTTGTACGTCGTATTGATTGTTGACAATATGTCGAAAAATCATACGTTTACCTCGGCTATTGACAATTTAACAATACATTTTTAATTAATTGTATACTTATCCGATTAACTTAATTATTTTTCCCCAACATGGCGATATAACCTATGACAAAATTAAGTAGTTCTTTTCAATCATCGCAAGTAAATCACAATGAGAGACTTGGATAATAACTATGGTAAAATATATATTATTTGCAAATATATATATTTGACATCATTCGAAAAGCTCTTTAAATCTATTGTGCGTATGACATGGGGTCGAAACAAAACATACATTTATATAGTAGTATGAATTTCCACTGCCGAAATAACTGTAAAAAACATAGTGTCATCTCTTTTTCCTCAAAAAGAATAAGTGAGACGACATGTTTTGTACAGATGTTCAGGCAATGAAAACCCACGAAAACATTAGCAGTATACAATATTTTAACACACAAAATACACAGTTTATAGGTCGGCCAATTTAATAGGTCACTTTATCACAATCTAACGATGTAACCTTGCAAGAGCGTACAAAAAAAAATTGAAGTTAGAACAAGTGTGTAATTACCGCAATATTTTAAATTTCAATTACATATTTATTATAATAATGACCATCGAACGTCGTTACAACGTTGGGTCATTCAACTCTTCCTTTTTTAAACACACATAATACAAAAGAATCGAACTAAATAAATTGATTTTGAAGTTGGAAGTAAGTATCAATTGATTCACCTTACTATGAAGCTAAAACTGATGTCAAATGTAAACTTTTAAATTGGCCCACCTATAACAGTCGGTTTCCACTATCGCGACTTTTGTATTGAAAAATATAATATGTAATCTTCGTTCTGTCAGAATTAAATGTCACAACAGTGGAGTTCTGTGTTTATTACAAACAAGACATATGTGGTGTTTCATCCTTCTAAACTACAATACAGTCAATTAATACTATAATTTAATAAATATAATTTTTTTTGTTATTGGTGTTCTTAGAGTGATTAATATTGCTTTAATAAGTAGATATATTTATGTATTAACACTGAAACATAATGAAATGTAAATCTGGAATACATGATGATTGAAAATTTACAAAAAATATATAATTAATATTTTGGATAATAAATATTTAAAACGGTCTTAATATTACGTTCAATTGGCACATATAAAGATAATATACGGGGGAAGTCTTATACACATTTAAATACCTTTAAAAAAACATTAAATAATTACATGAAAGAGACAACATAGACTAGGTATATTATAGATATATAGAAAGGGATATTTATATTACAGTAAGATGTATTTCATATTGTATAGCAACAATCAAAACCAATTAAGGAATACCTTATTGTTGCGATGAATGTAGGCGATAATAGACATTTAGTAAGAACTTTCAATGTTTTTTTTAATTTATAATTATGGAATGTATTAAATTATGTAATCACGGGTGTAAATATTGAGAAGTCCAAGGGATGATTGTGGAGTTTTTCGATAGAGGGGAAATACGGGGTTGAGGGTTTAGGTAAGATCGTTCAACATGCAACTTGTTAACATTAATTTGGAATATAATATGATATTATCTTAAAAAGAATCCTAAGCCTTAATATACGGCTTTTGTAAACATGTGAATGGGACAAAAAAAAATGGAGTTAATACAACTTACATACTAAAATATTATTATTAAATAATTTCAGTACCAATCAACTTATTACAAATTCTAAAACTAAATATTCTAATAATACATTGAAATTAATACAATTGTAAATTGCTAACAAATTATTTTAACATGTGTATAACTATTTGGCACGTGATTTGGCAACATTTAATAAAAAAAAACTCGCTATATGTTCGCGAATTTCTTGTGAATTAAGACAAACATACTGTCTTCTTATATTCCTTTTGAAAAGACAGAGACATTACAGAAACTTCTCTCTATTCGCGGGAGTAACGTGTGGTTACGCTTTAAGTTTTTTAAAAAAAGTTAATTTGATTTTTTTCAAATGATGAAAAGTACATTTATAGTTACTAGTAAACTAGGCTTCGTTGTACTGAATAAAGGCAACAAGTACAAGTAGTAAATACTGCCAATAATTTAGATAGAAAAGCCAAATATTTGCCGTGAATGCGGTAATGGTCACAACTTTTTACCCGCGAATAAGGAGATTCTACTGTACGTGTCAATACCCTACAGATATTAAAATCTGTTTGGCCACTACAACTAATGCCCCCACCCAGCAACTAATTTGCTTCAGAATAAACCTATCAAATCTAAAAGTAATACATTCTAACATCTCTATAGGCGTTCCTTTCTCATTTAACAAACATCGCACATTGGCAGTATTATACCATTGCCAAGCGCTACAACACACTAGGAACATATGGCCAATTGCTTTCAAACTCACGTCTTTTATAATGAAAACGAGTAATTCTGTATATCAAAGATCTTATTAATATTGACAAGTCAACACACATTTCACATTTAAAACGAATCATTTTATAAAGATTCTTTAAAAAGCGACCATTGACATGTAAGTATATAATTTTTTTTTAATTTTTTTTTCTCTTATAATTGTAGAACTTGTATAATTAAGTAGATTATTATTTAAGTAGATTTTAATTACATTCAACTCAACAACTGACGTTTTATTGCTTTAAAAATCACATCTAAAAAGCTGTATATTAGCGTTTCAGATATAATATTTTTTTAACTTCAAATTAATCAGTATGTAAATTTGTTATAACTGAATTTCCATTGCCAAGAAAGGTCATGGAAAATCATATTTCCATCCCTCTTATTATTTTTAATTAAACTGAGACAACAATATGTTCTTTCTGTGTTTCAGCAGTGGAAACTCACATTAAGACACTAATCTTCAATAAAAATACAACGAAGGGTGTTGAAATATTTCTTTAACTAGCATACTAAATGTTAAACTCAAGAGTCGTTTTATTACTAAGGGCGACTCTGTGTACAGTCGTACTAAATCTGTACTAAGTGACATCTTTAACAACTGTGAGTGGCAGTAACATCATAAGATATGATTAAATATAACAAAATCAAACGCACATTTGTTAAACGGTGACTTCGCATGTGACGTGTTTCTTAACGCCGTAGTTGCTGAGTAGAAAAGGCGTAGGAACTAGTTCAGGCCGACGACGAAGCTGGCTCCGGTTGAGAGAAAGGAATTGATCACGACCGGCGCTTGCCGCTAGAATTAAAAAAAATATGTTTTTAAACAGTGAATTTAATTTTAACGCGATTTTTTTTCTTCTTTATTTTAATAATGAAATGTCACAAAAAACTATCATTTTGTACAACTTTTTATTTTAACTTGATATGCGACACCTCCTCTCTGAAATCTACTTAACCTTCTAATCTTTTTCTTATATGGGTGAGACCAGAAAGAGGACTAAACAGCCTCTAGCAAGCACACTCATCAGAGACTGTACGGAATTACTTTGATTTGTCGTCTGTGTGGTCATAGTATTTCACCGGTCGAAGCAGCAAATTCATGAACAAATGTTGCTGACGTCTACCATTATTAAATTAAATAATATGATATGTGTACGTACGTTGCGCGCGCGCCGCTGGCAGCGTGCGAGTGTTGGTCATGGTCTCGGGTCAGACCCAGTATTGGTTGCGGCGCAGCATTGGATTCGCCGCAACCGCCACGCCCGCGTACGCTGATTCACTCGCCTCATAGTTGCTCCATTCTTCAGCCTGCAAAACATATATTGTGAAAAAAAAAACGTTAGCTTATGATAATATTATACAACTTCTGTAACCACAACAATATCAGATGATAGAATAACATAACTCAAGCGTTTAACCCAGAGGGGTCGGCAGAGAATTTAATTTCTGGGTTAATTGATTTAACCAAAAGTTTACTCACATCAGCGCCATATGGATATCGTGCGTTTAAATCCGGAGGAGCGTCCGGCAGGGGAGTGACTTTACAGGCCACGCTGCCTGCGGACGGCAGCGGCGTGCTTGCACCTGTCGTAGCTGATTGCTCCGACGGCACATACCTACATCAAATATTAGTTAATTAATTATTATAAATATAAGTAAAGAGATAAAAAAATTCAAACCCCACAAAAGTTTCTAAAATATCTGTTTAACAAAAATTTTAATATTTTAGTTTGTTTTTATAATTCGTTTGATGAAAACCATTTAAGTATATTTCAATAGTACATACCTTTTGATAGGGGGCGTGGCTTGCGTAGGCGACGGCATCAAATGTTCCGGTGGGCGCGGCAGTGGTATAGGCGCAACCGCGCCCTGACCCTGTCCGTGTATCTTGACAAGCGCGTTCCTCTCTCGTGCCAAGTACCGGCGACATTTGATGAGACCAGCTATCACTATGATAGCCAGCACCACGCCTGATAGCGCCATCACTATCATCATGTAATAAGACGTTGATTCACCATTGTTAACCTAAAAAAAAAAAGATTTTAAGTTATATTTTGTACAAATATCTTAATAAAAAACATTCTTTGGGAATTGTGGTAGCATTCAATTATTAGTAGTCGTTCGGAAAGTTCACCATTTTTTTAATTAAGTTTTACTGTATAGCAGCGATTTACTTACCAGAACACCTTCATGACTCTCAGGGTCATTAGGACCAGGCAGGTTCTTTTTCGATCTACTTCCGATTAAAATTTTAACATCCCCCGCCGCAGGTTGAAATATCGAGGCAGCCAAAAGGAATCGAAAACTATCCTCGTATCCATTTAAATCGCTCATTTTCTTCTTAGTAACAAAGTATATGACGCCAGCTTTCACGTCTTCGTGCGTGAAATAGGCCACTTCCCTTTCTCTGGCACTGGTCTTCTCTCCCGAAGACCTGATAATCTTTTTAATAGTTCCGTATTTTGGCTTCTTTATTATCGTATACACTGGATCGCTGGCTGTTAATTTCGCTAATTCAGTGGCGTCCAAGCCGTTCAAATTTAGTTTAGTTTTGTCTCCATCTACTTTCAGTTCTCCAAGTATCATGAGAGGCTGAACAATCACCTCAATAGCGAAAGGTAAAGTTGAATTGGTATTATGCGCATATGCTATTAATTCAAAACTATCGTTGGCAACTGTCATATCATTCTGCATGTAAATAACAACTTTATCCATCAAATCTTTATGTGAGAAATAAGTGACTGGACTCCTCCCCACATAGATCATTCCGTGCATAGGTTGTCGTGTGATATTGTACCATACTTTAGATATCTTAGCGTTCGTATCCACGTGTATTTGTTCGGTGCTGACTGTTGCCACATTAGATCCTTGTTGTAGATAAATAGGATGAAGTGATGTTGCATTCAGAATAACTGGTATAACATCTATTGTGAACACGGTGTATGTAGGTTTGAACTGACCATCCCATACTCTGAAGTAGAAAGTAGCAGTTTGTAACATACCGGAATGTTCATAAACCACACGACCATTATTTATGTCTTCCTGAGAGAATTTGTTTATAGAATGAGCGTCATCCATTGATTGGTTCTTATCCAGCATAACAATTCTGCCTTGAGTTGGTCCGCTAATTATATCGTACAATATGCCTGTCGGTTCCGTATCTGCGTCTTCGGTTAACAGATCATTTTTGGTTATCGTATAGTTTTCACCTTGGACTACTTGTATTTGTGGGGTGTCCGTCAATAGCCTGAAAGGTTGATCGTTGACGGGAACTATTATTATATGTATAGTGACATTACAGAGAAGGACGTAATCTGGCAAAAGGTACAGAGACATGTCTATTTTGTCTTCTAAGGTATCGGAGCCGTCATGTTCGTAGTTAACAACTCCTGTCTCCATCTGTGCTTGTGTGAGAGACGACATGAAGGGGTTGAGTCTACCATGTGCTGGTTGTGACCACTGCGCCTCCACTTGCGGCTGTCTCACTCCCGCTTGACTCTCCAGATAACTTATCACATTAGTTACATTCACAACGATAGGTACTTTATCGCCCTCTTGAACTTTTGTTTGCGGTATATTTACGTATTTAGCGAGACCACCGGAGGAGACTGATATGTCTATATTAAATGTTTGGTCAGTGATTGATTTTGCGAGAGCGGCTTCTATGCTAAATACAAATGAATCATTCGTGTATAAATCGGAGAAGGGATGGGTATGTTCGTAGTATACTAAAGTATTATTGATATCTTCTTGTGTGAACATTTTGATGGTTCTGTGATGGTTGTCTCCATTGAGCATGACAAGTCTGCCGAGGTTAGGTGCTCGGATTACTTTGTATGTTATAGTTCTGGTTGGGTCAGAGCATTTGGCCATCAGGAAGTAGTTGTTGAGGGGCTCAGTCATAAGTGGGAACACGCGCAGGTTGTGTTTTCGCACCAGCTTGAGTGAGACTGACTTTGTCGATATGAGGAATGTGATCTTGGATAATTCGTGAAGTCCATCTGTCACGTTGAATATCATTTTGCCTTTGCTGCCATCTGAAAATAGTAAATCAGGGAAGTAGTAAAAGTGAGGACTTTCACAGTAAGGTAGCTGTGCACGCGACGATGTATATATATTATATATATATATATTATACTTTTTTTTCGAAGTCCGTTTATAGTAAGAATTACAATACTTACTGGTGTGTACGAAGATGACTTGTCCCCTGTCGATGTCTGCCTGCGTGAAGCTATGTCGCGGCGTGTCGAGGTCGTGTTTGAGCGCAATGTAACCTGACAGTATGTCTACCACGCGAATAGTCACGTTCTCCAGCGGCGTGTCGACGTCGTTCACATCTGTAATACAATTTACAGATGAAACAACCAAATGCACCGTCACTCGTTAACTAAGCATGAGACATCCATGCCATTGCTTAAGTAACAATTAAAAATAAACATTTAAACTTTAATTTCGACCTATGAAAGTCCATTAATATAATAAAACAATAGAAAGATGAATGAATGATTAACTTACATAATTCATTCCTAGTGAAGGTAAACGTGCCGCCCTCCCACACACAGAGACCGGTATTAGCGGCCACTATCGGCGTCTCATCGTTCACTGGAGCTATGTTCACGTACAAATAGAACGGTTCACTTTCTTTACCGCCTTCCGTTAGTGCAACTAATCGTATTGCATCAGTCGACTCTTCCGAACCATCATTTACATACTGAAATAATACATCATGTTAAGATCACAACTCTTACATTTAACTGTAGCCCGCGACTCCATACGTGATTGATAAAAAAAAACTTAATTAGTAGCCTTTGTGTTTTTCCAGACTATGTTATGCATGTATACCAAATTTAATCGACATTTATGCAGCCGTTCTATAGATACCTTCAAACAAACATCCATCCATCCATCCATCCAAACATTTGCATTAATAATAGTAAGATAAGAATCTACTATTTTAAGTAACAAGAGTGTCAAAAAAACGTGTTTCAAAAAAATTGTAATTTAGTTATGTATGAATCTTGACTTGAAAAATATTGAATTTATTGTAAAAAAAAAAATTGGTAAATAAAAAAACAGTAATACTATTCAAGTGAAGGGCGGGCCATTTAATAAATGATGATTTAGTTTAAAAATATATTTTCTCACCTGTATATTCCCAGAGTTCAGTTTCAAAACTGGCAAAAGTCCGATATCTTGATCACCCGTTACAATCTTACCAAACTTTGGTTTCTCAATCACTTTATAAGATACAACTTTGCCGCGATAATATTCCGTTATTGTTTTAAATAAATCCGGCCTCAAGCTGACAGCTTCACCTTCCACAACTGTTAGGTTCAAAGATCTAACATAATAATGTTCAGGAATTATTATCACAATTAATTCGACACCTCTCAACCATACTATTCCATTTGTAACGTCCATTTTGATTCTATCTCTGGTACGATTTACACCCGATTGTACATATGTTAATCTGTTTACATTGATAATAGATTGATCGAATACTCGTGTGTGTACGGGCTCTTCGTTATAATTCTCCAGTTCAACTGTCCCCGGAGTAGATGTTATTTCGAGCCAACCGTAGTATGGGCCGTCCGTAACTTGATATACTATGTTCGATGGCTCTATTTGAGGATGCATCACCTGTATTATAAATAAATTAATCAATCAAGTTATATTGAAGTATTAATTTTTATTCGATAACTACATTTTTATACTAGGTAATTTATTTATTTTGTTTATTAAAAATGTATATACTTAACAATTAAACAAACAGGTTGAGCGTTGGTGTCTGTCATAGTATGAACTGTGTGACAGACACCGGCGCCTTTCCTTTACAATTTACATAGTTAACAAATTAGTGCTTGTGTGTGTGTGATTGTGTGCGTGCGTGTGTTACCGTGTGTCTTTGTCAATTATATTTGTGTTCGTTTCGTGTATTTTCTAATTGTAGGGCCAAAGTAACTTTTCAGTTTCATCGTAATGAATTAACAAAGTTATTTTCATAATAAAAAAAATACAACCAAATTTCCGTACTTTAGAGTTTCTAATTTATTTTGCATTGTGATAGGATATTTTATTCATATTATTCAATAGAAAAATGTAAGACTTAAAGTTACATACAAATTGTGTAATACAAAAATTGAATGTTCACGTACCTCTAGAACGTCTTTCGTTATATTAACGCTAGTCGATTCTTCCACAATAAGTGGTTTATTGGTTGTCACTCGCAGAGGCTCCCAGTAACTTGACGGAAAAATCTTGATAGGATATGTACCTTCGCCCCATGTATCCAAACACATCACTTTGAAACTGTCAATAAAAAAAAATAATTAGCATTTCTTAACCAATATGTGACAGTTGCTTAAAATAACACTGTTAATAGTTTGAAATAGATTTTTAGCTTATAACAAAAATTAATATTTAAAATGTATGTCTGTCTATATATCCACAATTCTTGTTTCTTTTGGGTAATCTTAAAAATGGTGCTATTTTAAAGGCCTTTAACTGGAAGGTTTTAGGCCTTTAAATCTGCGATTACCAAGTCGCTAGTGTGTAAAAAAAAATAAGTAATATAGAAAATGTTTATGAATACATATTTATCATACCGGAAGCAATCGCTCGGCACGTTAGGCTCCGTATGCCTGTAGGCAACTCTGCCGGCCGCTACATCCAGTTGCGTGAAGGTGGACGCGCCTACACCTTCGCCTACCTCCATAGTGCCGTGCTTTGGTTCCTGTGTTACTTCGTATCGAATGTCTTCTTCTAGGCAATTCATATTTGTATCCACCTGAATTAACAGAAAGCGGTGTAAAGAAATCTTGCTATATAATGGAGTCGACATAATTGTATATTGAGAAAATTACCTGCATATCTCTGGCGGTGATCACAACAGCCTTGCCATTCTCAACAATCGATCCGTTCGTTGGATACATCCTTATAAATGGCGGTGACGCTTGTATTTCCAAGTTTCCATTGACATCGAACAAGCCGTCCGATATCCAGAACGCCATTTTGCCATACTCCTTGCCTTGATGTTTAAACAACACTAGATTCTTATTGATATCATCTTGTGAAAACTGAGCGATTTGCTCCGATGGATTGTCGGCACGGAAGATACCACCATTGGGTGGGTCTTTTGTAAACCTTTGAACAGTATAAATGATGTCAGACGGCCTCGTATCCAAGTCGGCGTCGGTGTAGCTAAGATCTCTCGCCGTTATAAGTCTCGCACCGCCGTGAACTATATGAAAAACATTTTCATTGACACGGACGGGACTGTTATCGTTCTTTAGTATAATATCGATATGGAACACACCGACGTACTGAAAGTCTTCCGGCTCCGGACTCAGAGCCATGAAATGGAACGAGTCATGTCTACTCTCAGAATCATCGTGCGCGTAATATACGCGATCGGAGTTGAGTTCTTGCAATGTAAAATAAGTCGTATTGTCTCTGATCACTTTGAGATTGTCATTGATAACTTCGATCTTACCGTGCCTCGGTACATGGGTGATGTTGAACAACAAATTCGTGACAGCGTCCGTTCGGAAGTCGAGATGGCTGGCCGGTATCGCCATTCTCGAGCCTTCCATGACTTGTAGCCTCTCTAATGTAGTGTGCAGTCTACCTTGCGAGTGTTCCGACGTGAGATAGCTCGGCGTATGCCGGACTGTCATCACTCCGGTCACATTTTCGCATTCGTTAGCGCCAACAACGAACGCAAACTCATCGTGTATATGTGAATACGCTCGCCTGTGCAATCTGTACCACAATTGGTCCGTGTCTATATCCCGTTGGGTGAAAGTACCGTACATAAGTAGATGGTGTTTGCCAGACGACAGATGTAGGATACCATATTTAGGTGGCTTCAGCACTGTATATAAGATTCTATCGGCCGATAGAGGAATAGGTCTGGTTTGGAATCGTAAATGCAGAGGAGATATGAAAGCTTCTCTCGTGTTATTCAATACCAACTCTTCATTTGTAGATTGATATAATTCCAGTTTGATGAATGTCAATCGAAAATCGTATAGAATATTCGTTCGTATCGCACCCACCGACGCTTTAAACTGTAATACAATATAAAAATATAAATAAATTTTACATGATTTTTATAAAGTTATAATAAGTAAATAACAAACCTTAAACTCGTCATGTGAGGGATTGCCTAAGAGATGCATGTACCGCACCCGGCCAAAGTTAATCATTTCGCTCGTAAAGGAGTCGACAGTCTGCCAAGTGCCGTCCAACACTCGCAACCTCTCCACCACGCCGAACTGAGGCGGCTTTACGATGTCATAGCTGTAATGTTACAATTAAATACATATGTCGTATGGCATAAATGGAAAACTAATAAATAAATTCTGTACATAAAGGACACTTTGTAACATAATCTTTATTTAGTGAGTTTGGACTATAAGTACGACTGTATTTCTCGCTTTAAATAACATATCTTATCTACAACTCTAAAAATCAATAATTTTCTTAAGGACTAGCTGTCGCCCGCAACCCTTCCGTGCAGTACTTAAAAAAACTTAGTTAGCCTATGTGTTCTTCCGGACTATGTTCTATATGTATGTCAAATTTAATCGAGATTCGTTCAACCGTTCCGGAGATACCTTCAAACAAACATCCATCCATCCATCCGAACATTCGCATTTATAATATTAGTAAGACGTAATACTTCATAAACAGATATATGACCATATTATAAATAATGAAAAAAAAATAGATTGCATATTGATTTAGACTTACCGAACTTGAGCGTTGCTTTCTTCAGCATTTGTTGCGAATGTGAGATTGTCAGCGGAGATGATCGCATATGAGTTATGGACCAGTTGCAGGCCCGTGTTGTTAACAAGACGAACTTGTAGAGGCACGATAGATATGCGCAGGACACTTGCACCGCTGGTCTCAATACCATCGGATACCTACAATATTTAACAATGATAAGTGATCATTTGTTCAATAATAACTCACTATGTTACTCAGTAGTTAAAGTTATTTTTTTAAATAAAGATTGATTGGCAGTTTTTCCAATCAAACTGGTCTTGACAGACAGACAGACAGACGGACAACAAAGTGATCCTATAAGGGTTCCGTTTTTTTCCTTTCGAGGTACGGAACCCTAAAAATTACAAAACCTATTAATATTTTTCGTTTGATAGGTTTTTCTTGTATAATATTCAATATGTTTATTGCATATAATTTTTACCCCACCACATAACATCTTATAGAATAAATTACTCTGCATTCTACATAATTAAAATAATTAATGTAATTCTAAATTATGTAATGTCTCTGAGATTACATGATAAAAGAAAACAGTTTTTTAATAACCTGTAATGTCAATCGTAAGGACGTTTTGTTCAACTGCTTGTCCCCACTCGAGCCGTGTACGTATGACACTACGCCCGCGTCGATGTCCTGTTGTGTGAACGAGTCAACAGGCTGACCTGACATCTCAATATGACCACTGAAATTTAAATAATATTTTAACAATATACTACTAATATTTGTTCACTAAGTTCGAAGCTTGGGCTAGGATATGGTTTACGACGGTCTAATTCCTGGGTTTGAACTCTCGACCACGTAGTCGAAAATCCATATCCCTAACCATTAGATTTGTATTAGGATATGGTTAAGATAAACAAATAACGGGTATGAAAACTTTACATCATCATCATCAGCTCACTATACGTCCCCACCGAGGGGCTCGGAGTCTACCCTTAGTTAGGTGATTAGACCATAGTCAACCACGCTGACCACGTGCGGGTTGACTTCACACATATCTTTAAATTTCTTCTCAGATATGTGCAGGTTGCATCAACTTTACTTATACACATTATATTTTATAGTTTCATCTATAAGTAGTAGAATATCGGTGGCCACGATACAGGCATTGCCTAGTGTGGGCATCACTAGATTATCCAAATTAACCATAAATGGTAACTTAGGTCTAATTTAATTTCTTAGTTATGTGCAATTTTATTATGTTACTTATTGTTTCTTGGTTTAATCTGTATTACCTATAATAAAAACTTTTCTTTCTGTCTTTCTTTCAGTAAAAAACTTATAATTTAAGAAAAAAACATTAGGCCATTGTATATCTACCATTATAAGAATCTGACTAGAAGCCTGACATAGTCTTCATTTAACAGTATCTTTTTAAATTATGCGGCATTTACATATATTACATTTATTATATAATTTAATTACAATAGTTTATTAATCACCAAATTACCTGCTCGCTTCATTTTTTCCATGCAACACAGTGTAGAGTAAATCTTCAGGCGGTGTATCCGGATCTTCCGCTTTTAGTATCTCCGAGGTAATAACTTTACGGGTACCCTGCACAAATTATATTGATATTGCAAATTTATCTATATAATTAATTATATTATGATTCGAATAATGTTTTTTAAGTTTTAGTACTATAAATCATCTAAAAACTTACATGCCGTGCTTGTATAGTATCTAGTAACTAATACAACTAAAAATGCGTTAATTATTGTAAAATATACATTCATAAATTATCATGCATCAAACTAAAAGTTAAATAAGAATATAATAGTGGAATAGAGAATCTCTACAATACTATCACTTACGTAGTTTTTACTTTAAAAAATGTACTGATAAAATGAATGGAAAACTTCTATCTCTTTACCTATTTCAGAGGACAGATCTCACAAAGTTGTCAAATTTTTTATTTTATTTTGAATGATAAAAATAACCAACTAATACTCACTGAATGTTAATATGTTAGATGCAGTTATTCAGCAGGTTTGTAGCAAACAAAGCATGCAACTACGATAAGCAACCCAAATAAACAAATCGAATCGCTTTGACGCACTGAAAAGTAAAACGATAAATAAAAAATACATTGCAAAAACAAAAAATTAAGATAGAACAGGCAGTTAGAAATTTAAAAAAAAATTTTTTTTTCTTAAATAACTCTTCTACATTCGAATTATGTTTTTAAAAAAAGAATTATTTCTTCATAAATTTAAATAAATTGCAACTGATTTTAATGTTGTTAAAAATATTTAAGGTAATCACGGAATAAAGATACAATACTCTCAATTAACGGGCGTGGTTACACAAAATGCATTCGCTTCAAAGCAATTCCATAACGAACTTCAAAAATGTATGAAACTGAGACGCGACAATAACGTGACTTATAGAAAGTTATTGTCAGCTTCATACATTTTTGAAATTCGTTAAGGAATTGCTTCGAAGCGATTTGTCTTACTCCCCGGAACAATTGATAAAAGTCAAATAATCGAAACTAATCTAATTCTACAAGGGTCTTAAAATATTGGTCGGTTCATCTCAATCCAAGTAAAACCAGACCTGTGTGAGCCGTAACACTTTCCCCGGCGGTAGATTCAGTACTGGAGCATCATTGACTGGGGTCACATTGACGTGGAGTGCAAACGCATGACGACCCTGAAGATAACTGGGTAAGGTGAAGCGAGCTTCTGGCACCAGCTCCATTTCCACAACTATAGCATCCTGGTGATTTTCAGAGCCGTCGTGAACGTAGCGCACCTGAAAAAAAACAATCATTGTGTTAACACGGTTTATGCCATCACGATTTTATAAATGAAATTAAACTCGTTAGGGTAATCAAAGTGTTAAAATCTTTCTCTAGTACAGAATAAATTCTACGTTGGGCTTATTGTGTCTGGTTAAATAGAATTTGCTTTAATTAATTTACAGTTAATAAGATTTTGTTCTACATGAAGAAAAAAGGCATCTATTAGTAAACTTTGTCAGCTCTTTATATGTTCCCACTGAGGGACTTGGAGCCCGTAGGGTTACTATGGTCTAGTCAACCACACTGGCACACACTGAGTTAACTTCACATGTATCTTTGAATTTCGTGGGTTTGCAGTCTTCCTTCTGATATATTACTTAACTTTCTCATTATGTAGCAACAAAATAAATACCTTATCTCTTGATAAATCCATGAGGGTAAAAAACTGTTTAGATTTCCCTTCTCCATCGATGTAATTAGCATATTGTGGGAGATTCCTTTGTAGTGACAGATCAACTGCGATACGTCCATGCATTGGTGACTGAGCGACGTGTAGTACCACACCAGACGGTCGCACTCCATACTTGTGATGATCCAGTACTACATCTATATTTTGCGTTGTTATAACCGCTACCCCACCTTCTTGTACTGTCAGCGGGTACAGGGAAACCAATTCCAGTTCACTGCTCGATTTTGAAAACACCTGGAGATAAAAAATTACGATTATAGTGATAAAAAAGAAATGGATGTCTCAATTTCATTTCATTTGAACCGTATTTGAGTCTTAGTATGCGAAACTGAATCTAGTAGTCAACAAACTATGAGTTCCACTTGTCACTTCATTTTAAATTAAAAATAAATACTACCCGGAATTTGATTTGGCACTTCGAGAATAAGTCTACTCTTCTAAATGCGTCAAATGTATAATTTAAGAGACTCACCTTATACTTTTCCGCATAATCAGGATTTATACAAAGTTCGGAGTCACATTTGCATGTGAAATGGTCGAGGCCATGTTGTTCGCAGACAGCGTTGGGCAGACAAGGCGGGTTGGCAGGGTTAGCATGGCATGGATACCACCAAACACACTTAGGGCTGACACCATATGTCACCACTGCATTCGGAAGGCCGTATAATTTATCATCCACCTCAATAGGTTTAATGCAACCCTGTTAAATTAAAAAAATATATATAACAGTTGACAACATTAACATTAAATTAATTGAATTTCTTAAACAGATTTGTATTTTTCAGCACTCAGAGACGTTAAGTGCTCACTAAGAGTGCCCCTTAGTATAATATACATAATATCGTGGTGATTTGTGGTTTAAGTGGCTTTCTTGATAACCACTTGAGGTCAAGTTAAATCCGTGAACTTAATTATACTTACCATAATACTAGAATCGGCAGCTTTAATGCCTTTAGCGAAAGCACGCTGTCGTTTCTCACTCTCTATCCCTCCGAGATAGAAAGAGTCGGAGAGATCCAGATACCGCATTCCCCCACTTTCTATCCGTGTACTCATCGCTATATTGTCCACTGATAGCTGAACAAAATGAACAAATGACTTTATTGAAATATACATAATACTAAAAGGTCTTTATATAAAACTAGTTAATGCGCATCTTCGCACACGTTTTCTATTCTTTTGAATAATTTAAAAAAAGAATCAAGATTCAACTTCGACAGATTATATGTTCGTACAGAAACGTTAAGTAATAGTCACGTGATTGACTTATAAAACCTATTTTTATATCCATAGTTTTTATTTGACCTACTTCGAAGAGCGACTTTGGAGATTATCAGATGAGATTAAATCTTGTATAATATTCACATAGCTAGTAAAACACTTAAATGGCGATGTGTATAGAAATTAAAAGACTTTGCTGAAGACGAGTTTAATTGAATTAATCCAAATCAATGCCTTTAAATCTACAAGTATTATAATAATAAAAAAATGATAGATTTCGCATCACATAGTCATTAAAAGTAAATCTTACTTAATATTATAAATGCGAGTGTTTAGATGGATGGATGGATGTTTGTTTGAAGGTATCTCCAGAACGGCTAAACAGATCTCGATGAAATTAGGCATACATATAGAACATAGACTGAAAGAACACATAGGCTACTAATTAGGTATTTTCATAATTCTGTACGGACAGAGTCGCGGGCGACATCTAGTAATTAAATAAACGTTCATTGGTATTGCCATTCATATCACTTGGATAGGGTATCAAGAAACATATATAGCAGGGTCGCCAAGCTTGGAGGAATTTTAGCACTCCTAAATTGGTAAATTCGTGACAAAATATAAAATCAATTTAAAAGCAAATGGTTTTGTTATAAAATAATTTTGTTTTTGTGATAATCAAAAACATAATGGTAGCGATCACTTGAGTTCTGATATAAGTAATCTTTACTTCACACTGTTTCGTAATGTTACTTCTTACTAATATTATAAATGCGAATGTTTGGATGGATCTATGTTTGTTTGTATCTCCGGAATGGCTTAACGGATCTTGATAAAATTTGGTATAAATGTAGAACATAGTCTGAAAAAACACACACGTTACTAATTAAGTTCTTTAATTCCGCACGGATGTAGTCGCAAGCGGCAGCTAGTGCATAATAAATTTTGTAATCAATGATGTGCCAAAAATATTCTGTCGCGTGCCATTGGTTCGCTATCTCTGATTTAAGCAAAAATCACAGTAAACTGTTTTATTAATATTAAAGTAATTATGCGGAATGTACGTTTTTTATGCAATTTCACAAAGATCAGATAATTTTGTTAATGTTGATACATATTTGACTTATGTTTCTCTTTAATAATTTTGACCGTTATCATATATAATCGACATTTAAATAAAAAAAGTTATTATATAAATTTAGAAATGCTTAAAGCTCTTTTCCTTTAAACAATAGCCACTGAATGCATTTATTTCAAACGAGAATAATTTATTATAATCTAGTGGCCGAACGAAAGCTCTAATGAGCCTTCATTTTTAAAACTAGGTTAACAACTAGCGCAACCGCAAGCCATGTTTAAAGATTGCATCTGCATCGCAACTCGTCATACTTAGAATTACATTCTAGGCTTATTTTACTCGCAATGCTTTCTTAAATTTTTTATTAAAAACTGTTGCGTAAATTTCCGAACTTGAATACTTTATTTGGTCATTGGATACTTAGTATTTACTAAGTCTACACTAAGGTGACATTTGATGTATGGGAAATAACTATAGAAATTAAATAATTCAATGTCGAAATAATATATCCTCTTTAAAAATAAGTCACTAACCTACGACTTTTTTAACACGTTCTATGCCACTGCGATTTTTCGGGAAGAAAATGAAATCGCTAGGCGATAGGGTGGCATTGAAAGTGTTAATATTAAATGACAATCGCTATTGACAACCTTATCAGACTGTGTTACGCAATTATATACAATAAAAATCCTCGTGAAAACAGAAAACCATTAACGCTTGCTTATTTTTTGTAGTAAATTAGAGCCTAAAAGCGCAAAGCAATGTCATTACGCAAATCAAGGATGAAAGCAAATTTTATTGATACTTTATATCTACTCCTCAAACAAATTAATTGTAAGTTTTTCTAAAATAAATTATTTTATTTCGATACAAAAAAAATAGCAAGCGAAATAAATAAATAAACGTGTGCAACTATTGATAAAAGAATAAATTTAAATGTTGCTAATGATCTTATCCTAAATGGTAATTCCAAGTACAATTATTTAATTTAACAGATTTGCTAAATTTTACATCTTGTCCACTTCTCAATAAAATAAATAAAAAGAAAAAATACAAAGACACATAATAGAAAGATTGATGAAAATTCGCAAGCGATCTTACCTCAATAAGTGATGGATTAAATAGCAAATGTATTTTATGCCACTGGCCATCATTAACTCTGACAGTATGTACTATCTGTCCCTTCGCCATTTTGACACGAACCACTCCTTCTAAAATCTCAACCGCTAAGAAATCAGAGCCACGCCCTCCTCCGTAATTATACAGGATTATAGCATTTGGAGTTGTTGTTTTAAATTCTATCTGCCATCTAAAAATAATTATAATTAAAAGTCGAACTCAATGAAAGGTAATTTTTTAAGTATGTATATTGATAACAAAACGTAGGACTGGCTTTGAAATAAAAAAAAAATCTTTACTTTAATCAGAGATGAAATAAATTGTATATTGTTTCACAATGATGAGCCATGTTATAAAAAAAATTAAATATTAATAAATTGATTTATGATAATATAAAAGGAAACTTTCAAAATAAAACATTTCTCGTAAACTTGACTTACCGCCCACCAGCTCTTGAATTAATTCTCGGTAAAATTAAATAAGCGCCTTCATCAACAAAACTTATATCGGAATTAATGTCGGCATCGAACTCTGGAGCGCAGTTCCAAGTAACGCCTTCCACGTGCACTGAACCAGTACGGCTACGAGCTTTCTCAATAATCTTAACTCCATTGTAGTATACCTAAAAAATTTGAAAATAATTTGCCAACCAGTACATAAAATGATCTACCACAAAAAATGACATACGAAATTTACAAAATATCACTGGTGACAAAAATAAATATATAATTTTTGTATCTCTCCCAAATAGGGTTGGAAGCAAGCAGCCGGCCGTAAAAATTAAGTCAAAATACTAGTTTTGGATTGAAGCATAGAAAAAAACACATATTAATATATTTGAAACATAATAACTTACATCTTCTATACAGCCCCGAAAGTTTTCCATATGGCCAAGAAACAATTCAGAGAAGTCACCTTGTCCACCAAGAAATATTCCAAAATGTATGTTCAGTTCAAAAAACCTTCCGGGTAGTCGCTTTTTCACTGTACTTTCATCAATCTAATAAGATTATAAAAAATATAATAAAAAATGTCTATTACAATGCCTTACATCTTACATTACATTTTGGAAATATAGGGTTGTAAAATTTTGGCAACTATTATCTATAGTTAATAAAATAATTGTGTATAGTTCAAAAACAGTTTGTCTAACTTTAATTCATGATCATGAATAATTATGCTATTAACACAATCAGTGCTATAGACTCATGTGGCAAGTAAATATATTATACTAAAAAATATAGCAGCATTAAATGGGTTAATTTTATAATAAATCCAAATCTATTAATACCTTACCTTCATTGTGAGATTTGCTTCTCTTCTAATAATACTAACATGATGCCACTGAGTATCATTTAAATGTATTCCTTTGGGTGAGGAAAGCTCACTTTCACCAGCGCCAAGGTTTATATGAAGTTTTAAACGGCCACTCTCCAGACGAATCTACAATAAACCATGAGAAAACTAAAGGATGCTGTATTAAACTAATGGTTATTGCAAAAATCAAAGCAGAAACATAATCACTAATGTAAGTTATTTTTAAATACTATTATTAACTCATTAGATGATGCTTGCACAGCAATAAAAACCATATGTTTAATCACTCACCATACAGTAATCAGTTTTTCCAGCAGCAAGAAGAAGTAAAGCGTCTGACAAATGGGTGCGGAATTTAAAGCTAATATCCGTGGCTCCTTTGGCTTCTTGGAGAGGATATGCGATGTAACTGGCTCCATAGAAAGATGCTGCATAAATATTTATTTTACTTTAATATTGATACAATTATAAACATTACAATTACAGCAGTACAAGGTAACAAAAGCAAGTATATATATTTCGTTTCGTTTTACTTACCTTTATCATAAGCCAGACCAAAAGAAAACAGTGACACAATTAGAAGTAGCTCCATTATTATTAAATCAATTTAACACTAACAAGTAACCGAAATAGACTCGAAACTCAACTCATTAAAAATATGTTATGCTTGAATGAGTGATGGAAACGTTTGTAATCCTATGTTGTCAAGGATATGAGAAAATGGAGACATATTCCAATCCGAATCCACAGTGAGGCTGGAAGCGTGGCGTTACACGACTTTGTGTTACAAAGCGCAATCACGATTGTATTATACTCTAAGTCAATCCATTTTTATGTTAAAATAACGCAGTATTTTTTTTAAAATCTGCTGTATTGCAAACATCGATACTGTACACATCCCTAATAATAATACAATCTAAGTCTAAGCTAGTTTGTTAAAAATAGCATGATCGATTTGATAGTTTTCATCTTTCCTTTGTCAAAATGACATCATATGTGGAAACCAAAGAGTATGCAATTCACTATATGCTACTTTATGTTGAAAAGTTTTAGAATAATTTAATTAAAAAAAAAACCTTTTTTGGTTGCACTTTATTTTGTAAGATTATTAAAACTATGCTTTCCTATCTATTTTCAAATAACCTTTATTTTAAACGTATACATTTTATTGATAAGAGAAAAATGAAAGATTTCTCTGTGCAAGATTGTGTAATGTTGATTTCACAATCCATTACTCTACGTTACTCTATCTCACGTCTGACAGTGTCAATGTCATCCGTAACGTAACCTCAAACTTAAAATATAATTCAAAACAAAATTGTAATTTGTTAGTAGATTATTTGAAAATCAAGACTTTACAATAGAAGTTTTAGGTCTAATAAATCAATCATGCTATCAATGAAGAGATTATCTACCTTTACTGCCACTAAAATACCATTAAACGTCCGTTGCAATCAGAAAAGTGGCTATTTAGAAAGGCAAATAAATAAACATTGTAGCATAAGTGTATCTAAGTTGTGCTCATCATTATCTACATTACATAATTTAACACATAAATCCAAGCATCCGGTAAGAAAAGTAATTTATTACATCATATTACGACATATTTTTATGATATTAACCCTCATCTAAAAATATAATGAAGAATTAATTGCATTCACAATGTCTCAATTTACTTAAATATCATCTAATAAAAGTCACTGTATTTTATAGTTAATATTGCATTAACTATAAAATACAGTCTGGTCACAAATGTACCAATCATCCCTTTTTCAAACATATTTATCTAGATTTTGTTGTCCTTCAACTGCCTTGCTTACATTGCATAAATTTAAATGCAAGTGTTGAATTTTTACATTTGCTAAAGATAACATGGTAATGTAATAATCTTCATAAATCAGTCAAAGTAAGCAAATGATAGCTTGACCTTAAACAATCAGCATGCATATGGTTTTTCACAAAACTTATATTTCTAACTGGCAGTTGTCTGCGATTTCGTCCATGAGTAATTAAAAATCTAATAATAAATCTACCTCTCTGTTCTTTCCTATTTAATCTTTCTTTTTATGTTTTTAATTACCTTCAATGTAGACATTGGCGAAATCATCGAAATTAAACTATGGGGTCCACTAGTAATTAAAAGAAGAAGAAGTAATAATAAATCGCCAATGTTAGCTAGAGAAAGTGTAGGTCCTACCAATGAAAAACATTTCAAATCGGTTCAAATTTTATAGTGGGTTGTGGTTAATTTTATAACTTTCTAAAAAATTCATTATTTTTTACAGCAATTAGTAAAATTCAATGCGGAATATAAAGCTGCTCTTGCACTGTTCAGAAGATCAAACTTGAACCAGATCTCTGCACTATTCAGTAATCCATCTCGAAGCTTACACACTAGCTCGACTAGATACAATCAGCCAAATGTTGATAAAGATAAGGTGAGAAATACTAAATTAACAGTTTTTAAAATCCGATTCTTATATACACACACCCAACTCGAGCCTGTAACCCAGAGGAATAGGACAAGGACCTCCATATCTTCCATTATGTACAATAATTATGTTTGGACCCGAGGTACTTGCAATTTTTTTAAACAATTAATCTCCAAGTGATAAATCAATGCCTGCATTGGTTTCCAAGAGCAGTTAGTTGTGGATCATCCTTAAAAAAAAATTATTAACATTAATTTAATTTTAGAATAAAAAGGAAAAGAAGAAAGAAGATGATGCCACTTTGTCGTCATTATTTATGAAAGCAGCATTTTGGATGATTGCAACAAGCATTTTTATCATTATGAGCAGTCTGATGGTGCCAGCCGACTCTTCTTCACCTAATGAGGTACAATTTGTTGTAGGAAGTCTAGAACACTTCTAAATTTATTTCAATCATGGTGATACTATATAAATTCACAGCAGAACATTTACCAATGGCGACTATATGATATAAAGAGTAACAAACTAAAAGATATCCAGTTATCAGTAATAAATTTTATCATAAGAGTCTAGTGTCTGCTCAAACTACATAAACATTTGATTATTTCAATGATATTAACATAAATGATATACAAACTAGCTGTAGCCCTTAACTCTGTTCGAGTGGAATTACAAAAACTTTATTAATAGCCTTTTTGTTCTTCTGGCTATGTTCTACATCTGTGTCAAATTTAATCTAGATCCTTTGATGCATCCATCTAAACTTTCGCATTTGTAATATTAGTAAGATATATATTTATACATTTATTTATCATGTTCTTAATATATTACATTTCATATAATCAATAAAAAATTATACAAAACATATTATATTATATTAAAAATAGAGCACCACCGGCTGCGGAGTCCCATGACTCAAACAACCAATGGTCAGGGCTGCAGAGACAGGAACCTTCTCACAATGCGTGCGGTTTCTAGGATAACTGCCTTTTGTATCGGGCCCTTAATCCAACTGTTAAGCGAGAGCTTCGTAAGATTATTATTAGTAGTTATAAACATTGTTTTTTTACAGGTCGTACGATATGTTTCATGGAATGAATTTGTATACAACATGTTGGCCAAGGGGGAAGTGGAACAACTAATTGTTAGGCCTGATATAGAAGTTGTCACAATCATTCTTTATGAAGGTGCTATTATAAAGGGCAGGAGGGTAAGTACTAATCATATTCAGCCTTTGTTTACAGACATTTAAGTCCTGTCTATTGTCAATGTCATCTTACTAATTCCTTTTGCAGGCAACACATCGAGTACATCACATGAATATAGGCGATATCCAAAGATTTGAAGAGAAACTTCGAAATATTGAAAAGAGTCTAGGTGTCAAAGAAGGTGATATACTATTCTTTAATTAAAAAAAACCCAAATCTGATACTGAAAGGAAGAAAACAAATGATGTGTCACAATAGAATTACATACATTCAATCAAACTAACATATTATGAATTAAATCATGAATTAAAAAATATAATATGCCTGTGTTCTTCCAGTCTTTGTTTTATATGTATGCCAAATTTCATAAAGTTACATTATGTCACTCCGGAGTTACCTTCTAACAAACATCCATCTAAATATTTGCATTTATTATGTTAGTGAGATATATATTTTTTTAGGTGTTAGAGTCATATACGATAGGAATGGTGGACTGGCCAGCAAAGTGATTACAACTTTGCTGATTGCGGCCCTCGTCATCTCTCTACTCTACTCCAGTAAGAACATGAGAATGAACATAAATCTTGGTGGATTTGTGAGTATTGGTCATTTCCGTCATTGTGGGAAAAGAAATGTTATTTTTGACTGATTTTTTTGTCTTTGTATATTGTTCCAGAGCCAATTAAGCCGAGCCAAATTTACCTTGATTGATTCAATGAGTGGACAAGGCAAAGGGGTGAAGTTTGATGATGTGGCGGGTCTAAGGGAGGCCAAAATCGAAGTTATGGAGTTTGTTGATTACCTCAAGAGACCTGAACATTACAAGAGCCTGGGGGCTAAGGTTTGTTGAACTCCGTCGTCCTTAACGTCAACGAGAATTACACAATGTTAATAATTGAATAAGATGAAAAGGAAAATCTCGTTTTAATTTTTTTCCTTTGTTAAAGGTAGACAACAGACAGTTTGTTGTAGTCTTAAAATTCCTTATTGTAGAGGTTTTTTTAGCTACATTTGGCAGCTAATTGAAAAAAATATAATAAATGTTTGTCCTGTGGGTTTCCAGACTTGTATTAAATATTACTTACATTGTTGTCTCAGACATTTTGTGGAGATAAGTGTTAAATACGACGTGGTGTGTTACAGGTGCCTAAGGGGGCGCTGCTGCTGGGTCCTCCGGGATGCGGCAAGACATTGCTGGCCAAGGCCGTCGCTACAGAGGCCAACGTGCCCTTCCTCTCTATGAACGGTTCGGAGTTCATTGAAATGATCGGAGGTCTTGGAGCTGCTAGAGTCAGGTTATTTTCCCTTAATTACCTTTTTGATCATTTAACCTATTTTGTTCAAAATTTAACCGATAAAATCGCAGCGGCAATCTAAAAACATAGTCTATTGCCTAAACGATTTGTAATTAAAAAAACGATCAATATCGAATCCATTTCAGCGGTGATTCGATGGTATCATTGCTGTCTTCGGAGAGATCGACATTTGAGGCTAACCATTGAGCTAACCGTGTATTTCAGGGACTTGTTCAAGGAGGCGGCGTCGCGGGCCCCGTGCATCATCTACATAGACGAGATGGACGCAGTGGGGCGCGCGCGGGCGTCGGGCGGCGGGGCGTGGGCGCCAGGCGGCGGGGAAAGCGAGCAGACACTCAACCAGCTGCTCGTCGAGATGGACGGCATGCGCAGCCGCGACGGAGTCGTCGTGCTCGCCTCCACCAACCGCGCCGACGTTCTTGACAAGGTACCCCTCTTCTCGCACCCGAACTTAAAAACTTATTCGTTCGCGTAATGCTCATTTTTGTAATTTCATTTGCAGGCTCTGTTAAGACCGGGCCGCTTCGACCGACACATTCTGATCGACTTGCCGACCTTGCAAGAGCGGGAGGAAATCTTCGAACGGCATTGTAAAAGCATCGTCTTAGAAGAACTGCCGCCGTATTATCTTAAGCGGTGAGTCCGAGGTTATCACGACGAAGACGTGGGCAACCGGTATCTTATTTACTATATTAGTATCGGCTGTAATAATAAATGTTTGGATGTGAATGTGGTGTAAGACGCACCTCTATAAGGGGCCAGCGATCAGTTTGAAATAGGCCGAAGGTTGTGACTACTATAACTATATGAATGTAACTGTATATAGGTTGGCATACTTGACGCCGGGCTTCAGCGGCGCGGACATCGCTAACGTGTGCAACGAGGCCGCCTTGCGCGCGGCCACGAACAAGCAGAACATCGTGCGGGCGCAGGACTTGCAGTACGCCATTGAGAAAGTCGTCGGTGAGTCATCTCATCTCGTAGACCATCATATAGCCTTAAATAACAGGGGAATAGTGGCTCTTCCCTTGTGTTTAATGTAGCACCTAACTACATAAAAACACTACCGTTTTAATAGAAATAAATGTATCCGCTCGGCAGCGTTCTGTCTGCTTTGCTACGCCGTGTCGACCTCACAGTCGTGGTGTAAACGTAAAGATGTTATACAGGCGGTACGGAGAAGCGTAGTCACGCGATGTCGCCGGCGGAGAAGCGCGTGGTGGCGTACCACGAAGCTGGACATGCGCTAGTGGGCTGGCTGCTCGAGCATACGGAGGCGTTGCTCAAGGTCACCATTGTGCCGCGCACCAACCTCGCCCTGGGCTTCGCGCAGTACACCGGCTCCGATCAAAAATTACACTCCAAGGAAGAGGTAAGATGTCACGTTTTAGGCTATAATTTTAAAACTAAATCTGCATCATACATCAGGGTGTTGTACTTAAGTGATAATATTTTATGTTGATTATTTTCAAAGTTATTTAAAAAATATGATCTATCGTCTTGATGTAAGTAAATGATTGTTTCAGTTGTTTGATCGTATGTGCATGGCGTTGGGCGGGAGGGCGGCGGAGGCCATCACGTTCAATTCCGTTACGAGCGGCGCACAAAATGATCTCGATAAAGTCACCAAGATAGCTTACGCTCAGGTAAATATTACTAAACACAAATATTACTTTTCTATTGTAGCTTACCTTATACATTCGGATTCAATTGGTATTTAAAACAGGTGAGGATTTACGGAATGTCTCCGCAAGTTGGCCTCGTCTCGTTCCCTGATAAAGACACCGGCAAGAGTCCGTTTAGCAACAAATTGAAGAACCTCATCGACCTCGAAGCCCGCCAGTTAATTGCGAATGCCTACTACCGCACTGAAAGCATCCTCAAGGCAAATCAAGACAAACTAATCAATGTAAGTTAACCTTTCCTTACTACTCAACGATACTTAGCACATATAACCTAAAGAAAATAAAGCTTCATCATCAGTAAGCATTCGCTTAACAATATATCAAATTATTTAAATAGTTTAATAAAAATGGTTGATATTTTACTAATATTATAAATGCGAATGTTTAGATGGATGGATGAATGTTTGTTTGAAGGTATCTACGGAACGGTTGAACGAATCTCGATTAAATTAGACATACATATAGAACATAGTCCGGAAGAACACATAAGCTTACTAATTATTTTGTTTTAATTCCTCGCGGACGGAGACGCGGGCAACCACTAGTAACGTAAAATTTTATCCGTCTCCTTAAAGACTGAGTTATTTTTTTTTTCTTTTCTACAAATTATTTTCACTAAATTACAAACTTTCATTGTAGCTCGCTGAAGAACTTTTAAAAAAGGAGACTCTGAGTTTCGAAGACGTGAAAGCAATCCTGGGCCCACCGCCGTTCCCAAGAAAGAAATTCATAGACCCGGTGGAGTTTGAGAATAATCTGAAGAGTCTAGAGCAAGCCGCCACGCCGCAGGAGTCTCCTAATGTCGGCGCACCTTCAGCCAAGCCAGGAGGCCAGCCTGGCATCGACCATCTTATATAAATACTTACTAAGCTGAGCTCTATCTGACTCATGGACGGACTATGCCGAGGTTTTTATTTGTTTGTCGGCCATTTTGGAGTAGGCTTTAGCGATAGTAAGATTTGGAACTAATAAAATAGATAGAATACTGTTAGTAACATTACTAGGCGCGTTTAATCGTTGGTTTCTGAAACCAAACTCCCCTATAACACATTATTATTTCTATTATGTCAAATTGATGACACATATCGTCATCTTTGTACAGGGATTTTGGTTTGGGAAACCAACGGTAAGTTGAAAAGAAGCAATTGTCATTAGCAGCGTCCTGTCAATATCTATAGTCTGTGGATTGCTCCCACAGTCAGTCATTAAGTGTCCTCCCTTAATGTGCTAGTATCATAAATATATACGCACGCTCTGAATGTGGCAATGAATTTTCCTCCTATAACTATACCATGAGCAAAGTTTATTTCTGAAGACATCTAGATGTAAGACACTATGTTTTTTAATTAATGATTTTCGCTTTGGAGTTAGTTCATCTATTCACCCGGAAATATAACCTCTAAAGGTGAATATACACTAGAGCAATCCTATGTAAGTTGTTACGAATAATAGAATACAGGTAAAGTAAAACCAGTTTCCTAAGCATGTGTGATTCGAGTAAGAGTAGAACATATCACATACCAGCTCGTTGTTCTAGCTATACTCACCTTAAGTGTATTGGGGTGTCCAAGTATTCCGTGTGTGTAACATTTAACATACTGTATAATGTCAAGTGATTTTTATATGTACTATCAAAAACAAAAGTGTTATTATTTAAAAATAAACTTATTAAATAACGAAAAATGTTTTAAACATATATTTCAGGGAAAGTAGCTACACTAGTGACATCTTTTTTTTGCAACTTTATGAAAATTGTACCTTAACTTTATTGTTAACATTTATGTCTTGTCACATCTGAGAAATTCCAGATACATTTTAAAAATCGTAGATTTTATGTCAGGTTTCATAAGTTTACTTTGAATATAGTATATATTCATATTCGGTGTCCTCATTTGAACCCTTGTTATATTTTTCTTTGATTATTCTTTAATAAACATAGTTTTATTTGGTTTAAGAAAAAAAGTCCATTAAATTAAAACCGATATATGAACACGGCTAAACACTAACGTATATTTGTCCAGTGGCGGCACCGACTAGTTTCGAGCCCATCGGGGGCCCTTCATCAGGATGAGTGGCACTGGTATTATTTCGTGGACACGGCCCTCAGCTCACTCAGTTTTTATATCAGTTTAGTATTTTAAATTAGTTTAGTAATTTAAATTAAAACCATTTATATTTAAAATTATAAAGATAAAAAAAACAAATAACAATATTGATATTAAATTAATGTCATATTTTTATGGAATTAAGTCGATGATGATTTATATATCATCAAGAAATGTACACTTATTTTACACAAGGATACCATTAATAAATCAAATAATTACAAAAATTATTCAACAATATAGCAATCTCATGTCACAAAGCGACGTGCGCTTTACTTGTGGTAACTCAGTTTGCAAACACACTATGAACATTTCAGGGAGGTATCTTGCAAAACTTGTAGAATAAAAGAACGTTATACGAAAATTGATGATGCGATCCAATCATTCTTGTATAGACTTTCCGATGAGAGACGCCCGAAGCATACTCTGCGACACACGATTCTGTAAATTAATAAAAAATTCTTAATGCGTTCTATTTATTTTTGATCAATATATAGGACTAGCGGTCGCCCGCGACTCCGTCCGCGCGGAATAATGAAAATTTAAGTAAAACGTGTTTTTCCACACTATGTTTTACATGCTAAGTTTCATCAAGATCCTTTCAGCGGTTCTGGAGATACATTCAAACAAACATCCATCCATCTAAACATTCGCAATTATATATTAGTAAGAGTTAAGATTAACAAAATAAAAATCATTATTCATTTTGTGTAATACAGGTACAGAAGAAGGGTTAAAAATACTGAAAAAATATAATTGTTTCTATTCAACAACATTTTATTTTAATATGAATAAGATAAAATTGCTTTAAATTTAGGCTTTTAAGGGCATTTTAAACGTGATTTATTCAATTCGGAACATTTTACAAATCAAGGGAAGCGAGTAAATGTAAGTCTAAATTTCTTTGAAACCCGTATTAAATATATTATCACCACTTTTCATTGTGTTTCACAGAACAGAGACAACAATATATTAGTATAGTAGAACAGACAGTAATATAAATATTTTACCTGCTCCTCAAACGGGGTCTTGGTGGAAGATAACATAAGTATTGGTGAGTTTGTATTTTGACGTGTCTTTCGTTGTGGTGTGACAGGCATTTTTGGAGATTGTATACTAAACCAGCCCGCATCAAATGTCTCTACATTATTTGCTATATCCTTGTTTGCCTTTTTTGCTTCTGAAAAAAAAAATACAATTGAGAAAGCATACAAAAAACTTCTCAGAGTAAAAATTATTAATTAAAGAGCTGTTATAAAAACCATTTTAACCAGGTAAAAAAAGAAAGAACTGAAGTTCAATTCAAACCAAAAAATATTTTTAATCCTAACTTGTTCTAAATTTCGTTTATGGCATTAGAATCTTACCTAAAATTAGATGACGAATGCGGCTTTGGACTTGATTTTTTTTTAATGTTTTTTTTACGGATTTGCCTCTTTTTGCCGGTTTTATCTTTTCCTTTCTATTCTCTTTCGAATTATTAGCATTAAGTTGCTCGAAAGATTTTTTTACATCTTCCACCTGTTTTAAGGTACAATTACTATAGGAATTTTTATCTGGTGCCAGCAACTTCGCCGGCTGTTATTAAATATCTTACCTGCTCCGTGGATGGTGATTTTTTAGAAGATGCAGCAATTGGTGCTAAATATTTAATTTGAGAAGTGCTGGGCCACAGAGTGCTTGTTTTTGTTGGTGTTGACGCACTTACTGATAAAAAAAATAATTATAAATTTAAAAAAAAAGAACCAAAGACATCTCGCGTGCATAATTTATCGATACAATACCAAGGAAATAACAGAAAAGATCGTAGGATTGTTAATTTAACTTGTGATTTTGTTTTAAAATCTTGTTTATGGCTGGTGATCTTACCTAAAATTATTTCGCTAATGCAGTTTGAAATTACGGGTTTCTTTTCAGGGGTTGAATTATCTATGGTTTTGCCCCTTTTTGCTGGTTTCATCGTTTCCTGTGTATTCTCCTCGCAATTATTCGCTTTAAGTTTCCCAAAAGGTTTGTTTATGTCTTCCACCTGTTTTAAGGTACAATTACTATAAGAATTTTTATCTATTGACAGCGACTTCACTGGCTGTTATTTAATATCTTACCTGCTCCGTGGATGGTGATTGATTATTAGAAGATGCAGTAACTGCTGGTAAATAGTTATTTTTAGAAGTGCTGGGCCAAAGAGTGCTTGTCTTTGTCGGTGTTTGCGTGCTTAAGAACCCGGCATCCAATGTTTTTACATTTTCTTCATCTTCATTTACTGGAATATTCTTTATTTTATCTGAAAAAAAAATTGTATAAAGTGATAAGAAATCTACCAATAAATACAAACAACCCATAATAATGATGAAAAAGTGGTAAAAAATAATACAATTTGAAATTGCTAAAAAAAGAAATCAAAGACAACTTGTGTGCATAACTTTTCGATGTATTTGGTACGGTGCCGACAAAGGACAGAAAATTCGTAGGGTTGTTAATTAAGGATATGATTTTGTTACGGTTGGTGATCTTACCTAAAATTAGTTGGCGAATGCGGCTTTTGACTACGGGTTTCTTTTTCGGTTTTGATATATTTATGGTTCTGCCCCTTTTGGCCGGTTGCATCTTTTCCTCTGAATTCTCCTTCCAATTATTCGCCATTAGTTGTTCCAGTTGCTCAAAACGTTTGTTTATGTCTTCGACCTGTGCCAAAGGACAATTGCTTTATTAGTCAACCGGTGCCGGCGACTTCGTGGCGCGGAATCAAAACTTAGCCTATGCGAAACAGATCTGCCGTTTGGCCATTTTGAGATATCCGCTAACAAATATTCTTCCGTATATAGAGTATTTGTATGTGTTTGAGAGAGATATAGTAGAGGCGGAAGTATGACGCGAAAGCGCAACCACCTGGATGTAGACCATGTCCCAGAAACCGTGCAGGTCCTGCGTAGTGACCTGCCTGGCGCCGGTCAGCTTTCGGTTGCACGTGTCTACCAGCGACCGGAACTGCTCCATCTTTTGCGATACCAACAGCCTGCCCTGCCCCGTCGCCGCCAGCACGAGCTCCTGCAAGCGACGTTAATATTTTTGTTATACAATAAACTACAACATATTTAACTTACCATTTATTACATTAAATAATGTTATGTGAGAGTTGAGATAGATTGATTTTTGTTTAAAGTATCTTCACAAGGGCTGCATGAACTACTAATTTTTATTTTTATTCCGCGCAAACGGATTCACGAGCTTCAGCTAGTTATTTGTAAAGTGCATTTACATCGAATTATAGACTCCACGGGAAAACAATTACTAAAAGAAAAAGTAAATGAAAAAAAGAAGGCTGGAAGCATCAAATCATTCAATAAAAAACAGGTACCTGGGCAAAGACAGGAATTGTAGTTGTCTCGGAGACTTTGTCCCATGCCTTACACATCTGTAGAATTCGATGAACCTCAGAATCTAGTTGTGCTCGAAACTTTGTGATAATATCATCTCTCTCTGAAGGACCTAATATGAAAAATAACAATTAATTGTGCATAACCACTGTTGAAACATTTTCATGAGAGGGTAAAACATTTATATCTTTGTCAATGTATTATGTTTCTAATATGATTCAGCAGTTCATACAAACAGTATTAAAGTAAGAACTTAAAAGAAAGGCTAAAACTAAATAAACATGTACCTTTTTTTGTTATTTTATTATCCGAGTCTTTTCTTGACCTATGTACTCCTTTCCGTTTTGTCTGGATTTGACTTGGATCAGTTTGTGATATTGGCATCTTTGAAACAATTTGCGCTTTCTTTGGATGTTCTTGTACCAAATTAGATGGATGCTGTTTAAATTCAAAGTTTGACTGATATTTCTTTGGAAATGTAGAAAATGGTTTATAATTTTTAAACTCATATGTTTTCTTATTAGCTTCTTGCTTATCTTTACTTTTAATTTTCGGCAGTGGTGAAGGTGGCACATAATATTTTGGGAATTTAACTGTTCCAGTTACAAAAGGTTTTAATTTATTTACAGATTCCTGTTTTTTTCTTTGCTTTTCCTTTTTCCACTCTAAAAGCATTCTAATTCTTTCTTGCTCTTTAAATTTTTTGGAACTTTCCCTTTTTTCTTTATCATGCATTTCTAAATGCCTAGTGGCATCTAAAATCTCAAATCTCGAACTTTTCCTTTTATTATTTAATAATTGTGTTCTTTTCAGTACCTAAAAATACATGTAAATTAAGTGAAATGTGACAGTAAAGAAAAAGTTAATTAATTTCATAAAAAATTGGAGAAACAGAACATGCACTTAAGACATATTTGGTTATTTTCCTTCTGAAAAGGCAATCAACACATTCCTAACACCTGAAAGGGGAGTGTTAAAAACTCCCAAACTGAACAAAAAATTTCTAATGAACCAACTGTTGAAATCAAGTCGTAAAGGCTATGTTTATATGCGATATCAGTAGGATAGGGGAATGTGTCTCTTTGTTGTATAGCATAGGTGGTTAAACAAATTCTGTGGAATAACTTACCCCTTCTTGAATGCTGAATTTTGGTGCAGGCTTGTATTGTTTCCTAGATCTAAGCTCCTCCACCTTCTTTGGCTTATACAGGTTATTTAAATTGAATTCTAAAAGTAAAGTGAGATATTATTTAACTACTATTTACCTTTCTCCTTAGTTCCGTCACAAACATATTGTGGATTTAATTTTAGACATTTTGTTAATTACTTAGGAATTATACAAGAAATAAAATTGAGTATAGAATACAATTTTGTTTACAATTTTTTAAATTCCCTTCGCCATGAATAATTGCCCTTAATTGATAATTGGTTGCAGCACACACTACATTCACATCTATATCTGCGCTGCTTTAACCAGATATCCTCTGGGAGTCCAAATACTGATGATATTTATTATGGACTTTCTCCTTCAAATGTTACCTTAAAAGATATGTCTAGTGGGTTTGACTCAGGAGTAGAATAGACTTTTTTTTCAGAGGGGAATGCTTTATGTATACTCCGCGCCCCGGGGGGATGCGGTAGTTATGTGAGATTCTCTTCCGGATGGGAAGCATACCCACTAAACCCCACTGTTCCTCCTATGCATCATGGCGAGACCACGAGTACACTTGCGCTTTTGTTCGCGACTCGCCTGAAGGATTAGAATAGGCTGGTAATGGCAATCAGACGTACCTAATTGAGTATGTTGTATTATTTTTAAGTTGTGTTAACAATAAACACTTACTATGTGGAAATACTTCGAGTATAAAACAGAGAAAATAAATATAAAATATCATAACTTTAACTTTTATAAAGTTTAAAGTCATCAAATAAATGTACAAACATAGTATCTAACTTTTATTTTCATTACAATATACAAATCTTCTTTAAAAAAAACTTTTTTTTTATATCATAAGTTGGCAAACGAGCTAGCGGCCACCTGAAATCGCTGATATAGCAGTGACCATTTTCCATAGACATACGCAATTGCATATGCGTTGCCTACCTTTAATCGACGGAGGAGAGGATGCACAGAAAGAAAATATATTCCTTTCCATGCATCCTCTCATCCGGAAAGTCCATGAGGGTACATACAATACAAACATGAAATACTTGAGGGTAGATGGTGATTTCGATGAACTATATAGAGGCAATTGAAAAAGTTTAGCCCTACTCTAAGGAATAAAATACGGAAAGTACTTTTACGAAGAACCAACGTACATGATATACTTCTTAAAATCAGTAGGCAGAAACTAGCAATGGGCCACATCTATCGGATCAGCGACGCCAGATAGAGTACGCATAAGGACAGCAGGGAACTGACATCAGCAAGTGATGATAAAGATGATAGCATTTAAAACCACCTAAAATATTAGTTTCGTGGCTAAGGAGAACATAGCGGCCGAAGAGACGAGGAGAAAAAATGCTACTTATTTTATAACATTTATAAATTTGAATTGTTCACATTAAAATAATTTACATACCCATAGTTAATAAAAGCCACACTCTTCAATATTTACAACAACAAGACACCACTTTGAAGCATAAAACCAACTGACTTGTACTGACGAACAAAATCTATATTTTAAAAATGGCACGACGCACGCGTAACGGTGTTACGGTTTTAAATCAAAAGCACAGACTATAGAGTAATGAGCAAAGAGTAGACATGTGTAAGTCGATTTAGAATCGGTCAGAATTGACGCAAAAGTTCGGCTATATTATAAATTCGAATCGTTGAGCTGCCGTTCAATAAAAAAATTCGCAGCTCATAACTCATCGCAATACATTATATCTATGCGAGTGGTCGATGCGCTAGTTGTTTTGTGTGTAGCAGTTCGCAGCATCAAATGCAAACCTCACCTCCATGTGGGTACAAAATAAGCTGAGCTACATGACACATCCGAAGCTGACACATCTGCGCTGAAACGCTGTTCAACAATTTTAGAAGAGTTTAATGACTATAGTGTGTCTATTTAAGATAGATTAGTTTGACAACTGAAGCTTATGAAGTACCGAATTAATTTTGTATGAGGTTTAATATTGTACTTAATTGATAGTAAAGAGTGTCGAACCGTCGTGCTCAACGATTAACTGTCAACTATTGAATATCGATCTTGTTATAAAATTAAAAGAAGAAATGGGTTTATAAATAATAGGTAATTTTAGTATTTTTTAACTTTTTAAATTTATTACAGTGATTTGACTATGTATCGCACAATTAATTAAAAAGAAATCAAATACATTCTTTTTTGATTATCAACACTACAATTTTCTGTTTAATGTATTATTTCTTTATGGTGTTTTGAAAGAGAAAGTAGGAATATAATGAAACAATTGTGTTTAAATTGTAATTCGAAAATCGAGAAATTTTCGATTGCAGGTTCTATGAGAACGAGAATGGAAAATCGAAAAGATTCTTAATCGATTTTACTCAACATATCTAGTCAAATGTCAAATGGATTGTCAAACAGTGTGTCTATTTAAGACATAAAATACCGAATTAATTTTGAATGACGGTTAATGTTGTCGTTAATGGACGGTTGTCATAGTATCGATCCATCGCGCACAATGATCTAATGACTCGATTTTTGGTTTAATGTTTTATATCTTTACCAGCTGTCACCCGCGACTCCTTCAGCGAGATCCATGCAGCAGTTCTGAATATACCTTCTAACAAACATTCATCCATCCAAACATTGGCATTTATAATATTATTAAGATGTATTTTTGAAGAATACATTTTTATTAGTATAATAGGATTAACTTTAGCATGGCAGTAAAACTTAAGGGTAACTTTGAACCCTATTAAACGCTTCTTCCACAAATGAAACGCTCCACATCCGACAGCGCGTTAAGGGTAGCTGATCAAGATACTAAATAAAATGATATATAATATATTGTTATAAATGGTCAAGTGCATCAGTTTCAGACAGGGTGAGTTAACACACGAAGAAAAGTTTAATTAAGGTTCAAGTTTTTTTTTGATTTATTTATTAAGGATGAAGTTGTTTTTTGGGTCTAGTTTTTGTAAACTGTGTGTCATGTTAAAAAAAAACTGATTCTTGCACTGATAGGAAGGATTTTAAGTGTCAGGTAAGGAATTAAATGACAAGATGTACAGTAATTTTCAAAAATCTATATTACATCAAATACATAATGTACGTTCTGAGATAATATACTTCTTACATTAAATAGGATAGTACAGGATAACAAAATACATAAAATACGTAACAGTCTTCTGAATTAATTCATTTTTACATTGAATAATTCAATACTACAAAATGTTATACAATCTACATATAATATATAAATAAAAATGTTAAATATCAAGTTCAGAAATATAGGAAATACACTGAATGTAAAAAGTCAGATCAGATCTTTTGAACCTCAAACTATTAGGTACATTTAGAGTTCACACAGATGTCTATTTAAAAAGTTAAGACCTAATTCACATAGTAACTACATCATGATTCATTTTACATTAGTAGATTCAATAAAACTTTGCATCAACAAAACAATCATTGTCAATCTCTAGAATAGTCTAAACAGATATTGTATTAAAAACAAATTGTTGCATTTTTAAATTAAAAAAAAATTACATATGAACACCTCATAATATTTTTTTATTGGTCAGACCACTAATAATAAATTTTAAAGGAATAATAAATAAAATATAACTAGAATGCCTCTAGATGCTTTGTACAATATAAAATTACAGTGGTATAACCTTGAGTTTCCATTGTTGAATCATATGTACAAAAAAATCAAACCTTTCATTCTTTTTTTCAAAAGCTAAAGATAATAATATTTTTTTGGACAGATGTAACAAACTGACTCACAGTTAAATGTTAAAAAACTGATTTTGAATAATTTATAAATTAATACAAAATAAATCACAGAGTGAACACCATGCACATAGATGTGCATATGCATAACTACAAATAAGTTTATGACACCATTTATATATACTAAACAATAATTTTATTTAAGCATATTTGTATATTAAATTTTATAATTATTTTAACCTATTTAATTATTTTCGAACTCTACATTGTCTCGTCAGCACAAATATGCGTGCCAATCAATAAGCGCAAAATGGAAAATGCAAGGAATTTTTCTCTAACTGCAACACCACAAACTAACTATATAGAACTGTAATTAATTCTTTAATATCAATCTACTTCTTGTTACTTTTACACTTTTATACTAAATACATTTATTTATCAAATCTATTAAATAAATACTACTCGTAAAGAATTACAATCTTTGATGTATTTTTGTATTTAACCAACCAGCACTGGGCCAGCATAGTTAACTATGGCCTACCCCCACCCCTAACTTAGGGTAGGCTTCGAGTCCCTCGGTGGGGACGTATATTATAATATTGATGATAGTATTGTAGTTTGAGCGCTTTAAAAATTGTGCCAAATGATTTATTATAAGAATAATAGAGAAAATCGTTAGAAAAACAGGCGGAACCAACGTCAGGGATAGATGGTATAAGAGATTACTTCGTTTTTATTAAAAATTTAATTTTTTCCTCGAAATTTGTGGCTAAAGTACACATATATTGTTGTTATAAACTTTTTACCAAAAAATGGTTCATGTATAACATCTATAAGATACAGTAATCAACCTGATACATATGTATATAAATATAGATAGAATAAATCAAATATCTACAGATCAATATTTTGTTTACAAATATCTTGTATACATGGTAAAACTTAGAGAATAAACAAGCGAATACCATTTTATCAGAATGCTTTACTGAGCAGACTATGTACAAAAGACAACATATTTAATATATAGTACAAAGTAGTATAGTATAATAGTATATAGATGATAGTACGTCATCTCACCAGTACTGCAGAACAATGTATAAAATTAAACAAATAAAAATTAAAATTTCGTACATTTAGTACATATTAGTTTTGTAACACCATCACTATGATATGTACATATCATGTAAATTTGACTTCATTGAATTTTTTTCTACCAAATATTCTTCCCGGTACAATTGTACACATCCCTGTACCAAACATCACCAAGATCGTATATCAGACCGTTATTAAGAACAAACCCTTTGTCCGAGCACACATCAGATGACGTACTTGTATCACTACGTAACATCAATAACTCACATTAGCTTGGAACAAATCTAATACTGAATATATACTTACATCTTACAATCATTAAACCTTTTAGCCAAGGGGCCTACATGTTAACTACTCATTTCAATGTCATTTCTTAGTATTTAAAGCTAACATATAATTTTAAAATAGATTTTTTATTGAGACTCATGATCTACAATTTTATTAATTTAATATCTCTATAAGATTCAATTATAATACTTGTTTAAATAATTTAAAACAGTAACGGAGGTTTTTATAAGAGAGGAACAAATTTTAATGACCATGTTTAAATCAAAACAATAAATTTATACAAACAGTTTAAACACATTTGCAAAATTAAAAAAAAAAAAACTTAGAAAAAGTTTTTGTTTAATATTGGGTCTATGATTTGGGATAGTATGTAGTACTATTAATATACAATAATGTTTTTTTTAACCATAAATAGATAATGAGACGGTAACTATATGCAACACCACAGAATAACGTCTGACAACTTTTCTCTATGCGAATAGTTCACGATAATCCCATTGAACAACTTTGAAACATGTTTTACACTGGAATCACAAATTTTTCACTGAAAACAGGCGTAAAACGTCCTACTTCTTGTAAATTTTACACAACTTTCTTTAAAGTTTTTAGACATAAACTTCGGAAACGTTCTGACATCATTCACTTTTTGTTTCACAGTTTTGTTATAATTCACTGCACAATTTGTTTGTAAACGCAATAAATACATATCCATATCCAATTATATATCCATAATCCATCAATTAAGTTTATTTTTCACTGCACTTTGTTTGAAGTTTTGTTTACTATCATTTTATAAAAGTACATTTTCACTATAATTGTACGTTTCAAACACGAAACAATTTCGCAAGAGAATACTTCGGCTCATATCGACAGTTTAAGTTTTTCTGTCCGATTTGGAGCAAGTCAGCGTTTGCGTAGTGTATACATTTACTGTTAGAAATTGTGAATAATTTTTTGAGCGATTTCGTCGATTAAGTAACATTTTGCTCATATACTTTAGAAATTGTATATTTTCCATTTTTGTATATTGAGCAATTTATTTACTGTGAGATGTCTTCATCTTCTCACTGGTATGCTGTACCTGTAAAAATGTACTATTCAGAATTATTATAATTATACTATAATTAATCACTAATTAAAGTAATATTATATCTAATATAATAGTGCACACAACTAACATTGACCAGCGTAATAAACAAACACGAGAAATTAATTTAAAACGATTGGTAAATGATATATTTGCTATAAATGGAACTATACTACATTTAAAATAAAATATAAGAAACATTTAATGAATAAATTAGGCATAATATATGACAGTTACATGAGAAAATAAATAACAATTTACTTGACTATAAAATATGTTCTTTTAAATATGAAGAAAAATAAATAAAATAAAAAGCCGTTCACAGCGATATCAACCTGTCATCACCTCGATGGGGAGAGAGCTGCGTCGTGGTATGTTAGAGAGTGATTTCTCTTGGGCGTTTGACGCCCTGGCGAGCCACTGCTGGCAAGTGGCTACAGCGCTGGCCTTCTTGCGGGTGCCAGTAGGAGCGCCGGAGCGGGCCACCTGGGCTCCCTGTGCGCTCTGTGCAAGGCCGCGCAGCTCCGACACAGCCACGGGCGCCGGCGCAGAGCCCCGGCGACGTCGGCACTCCTCCTTCCCAGATGCTGCGTGTTTGAGCAGTGGAGGAATTACTGCCAAATCGAGCACTTTTTTCTCCTTCGGAGCTGTTTTATGAAAAAAAAACATGTTTTAGTTCATACCTTAGAGTCACTATTTTCATAACACGAAAAAAATAACTATTATTATGTAATAACATTTTAAATATTTCTAATTTTTTTAATTACAACCCAAACCCCGGCAATGGACGTGTACAATAGTAGCATGAATTAGCAAATGCGTGCCTGCCTTGTACTACAGACGTGACATTTTGTTTCAGTTCCATTTTGCTAGGAGGTTTCAATGGAAGGGAAGTTGTACAATAATTAATGTTTACCTCCAGCGGTCGCCGATGTGACGTCAGCAGGCATTGACTTCCTTCGAGGAGTAAGCTGTTGCAAATGCAAGCCATCGAGCGTAACGGCCGACAGGTTGTCGCGCAGTCGGCTGCCCATAGTCGAGGCGGCGTCGCCTCGTGCCTCTCGCCGCCCACCTTCCTGTGTTGCGGTCCCGCTCGTTGACGCCTCATTCCGACCGTTCTTGTCGGCTTCAGATTTTTTGAACCACCTGAACTTGGTCGCTTTTAAATTTTCTAAGCGTTGCAAGAAATCTGTTTTGGTAGTCTGAGGCGAAGATCTTATATCTTCAGTGCTTTTGTGCAAGTACCGCGGGGGTAGCAAGCACTCCAGAAATGTGGTCTCCACGTTTGAGAAAGTTTGTCGATTGCCTTCATCGTCGGTGTCATCTACTTGCAATAAATTTTCAGTGCTCAAATATTTCTCAGTAGAAAATACAGCTGCCTGGCCGCGCTCGGGTGAACTCTGCTGTGACCGTACCGAAAATTGGATGTCGAGCCGGCTAGCGCCCCGGCGCGTCTCCGAGCTGCTGACTGATGCGCGGCTCTTTACGCGGCGCTTAATTTTTTTCTCTTGTAAGATATTCAGCGGTACGGAGAAGCGCCTCAATTGTTCTTTAATGCTTTTAGGCTTGATTGGATTCAAAGAACTCCTGCGCCCGGGCAGCAACAATTCAGAACTGTCGGACAATTCGGAGCCGACCTCGATATCGTTCTTCGCCGTGTCAGTATCAGGCGCTTCTGTGCGCTTCTTCTCTGGACCCTCGATCACCATCAGCTGCTCCCATTTGTTTAGATTGGAGAGCAAGTTGTCTAACATTTGCGTGGAGAGATCGTTTTGGAGGAACCGGTGCCACTCCATTATCAGCGGCGTCACTATGAACTTGCCAAATCCTGGAAAGTTATATTGATCTTATTTTTTAAAATATAAACAAACTTATTTCTGCCAGTACGGATCACCTTTATAAGAAACAAAGTTAATAAAAGGGGTCAATCTAAGTCAAATATCACCACATCTGGTGCTTTTGCTACTACTACTAGATACCTCATAATTTTTTTTATTATAATACAACACTAACTTCATTTTGTTTTAATTATAAACGATATTTTTATGTGCAGCATGTAGATTGTCCAAAAATTATACATAAAACTGAATGTGTACTATATTTCGTCTGATTAGTGCCGTGTCAAATAGCATTACCACTTCAAATGTACCTTATGCTGAGACAAATGAAATTAAAATGAAAGTACATATTACACTACCGATATCACATCTAACTTCTTATGGTAAAATGTTTTACCGTACTAAATATTTGTATATTTTTTGTATACTTATATTATTTTTAAGTAAAACGCGTAGGTATTTAGATAATGGTCTCTCGTTGAACAGGTAATTTCTGGATATCTGGGGTTTTGAGATCATAGGAACATATTTTGGTACCATTCTCCAATCATGAATTGCGGCAGATTTATATACGTATTTATTGCAACAAAAAAATAAATACATACCAATTTGAATATTCGGTATAGATATAGTATTCCTGTCACACAATGCGGAGACAGGTATCTTGAGTTTGCGCTCATATTCGCCTTGTTTGAAGAATTCCTCGCAAACCTTGAAGCTCCAATTCCTGCTGATTTCCCAGGGCCGGCATGGGTTCGATATATCCGCACATTTGAGGGCGATCTGCATCACCAAAAATCGGTGTTCGCGTTTCCTCAAATCTAAGGTGTTGTTGTCAATATGACCCTGAAATAGAAACGTTGTTCCAATTATAATCAAGAAAAAAGTATTTATAATGACTGCTGTTCATAATTCATAATCAAGATTTATAATTTTTTTAATATAACTGTTAAATCTTATCCACATTAACTTTAACAGTGTTAAAAACGTTTATCTGTTAACACAATTTCCTCAAAAGGGTACATACAAAGTTTTTGCTCACTTTGTTTAAGTAAGAATATAAGTGGTGAGACATAAGGAAATTGTGGAAAAAATTTCAACAACAAACATTTGTAAAGTTGTTGACAACAGTACCGTTCGTTAAACGTGTTAATATTTGTTTGTTAAAAGAAAAATAGTGGGCTAGTTCATCACTTTCTTTTACTGTTCTTAGTTTGACAGGTGTCGGCAATGAAAACGCAACGAGTTTGGGATTACAGCAGCACCGGCAGCGGCAGCGGGCGGTGGATTTATAGCGTGTGCGTTAATCTCGTTCCTACCATAAACTAGATTGCCCGCAGATCTGACCGAGTTTTTCTATGTACACAACCCAGTTACTCGGACGCACGGATTAAATCGCCGAAAATGCGTCTTTAAGGTGGTGACACATTTGGCCCTTCGTACACAAATAATATTCGATACCTGGCGATTTTAGTCTCTAAGCGCATTACGCATACAATGGAATAGAGAGGCGCATTCGCAGTAGAACTGGGCGAATCCACGACCCGGGTTATATTTGCGGAGCGCGCGTAACGTGTTACTCGAGTCCTAAAGATCGAATAATAGTATCTGAGATTATCGTAGACTTATGTACGAAGTGTTTTAGATATAATCGATTTATATTCGGGTATATAACGTAAAAATAAAAAGTTTAAAAACCAGGATAAAAGGAGTATATAAAATACATACACATCATATATACGCAAAGACAGAAAAATTGTAAATGCAGTCCATTTTTAATAAAAAATAAGACCTAAATGAGATAGATGTAGACACATCTCTCACCGACATACAACTAGAATGTTGTACACGGATACTCAAAAGATTTAAAAAGGTTAAAAAAAGGTGTTAAAATTTGTTTTTATAAAATGCAATTTAAAAAAGAGATCTTGTTGAATTAATGAGTCGACACACTTATGACGTTGTACAGATGATGGATAAAACAACAATTTTTAAATCCTAACGAGCTAACGTTATCAGCGAGCAAGACGAAAATCATTTCGTATCTTAGTTGGCGAGGTTACAGGCGGCCCCTGATACCTACTATATAAAGAGATTAAAATATATTACTGTTATAGAGCGGACATTACGGGGACTTCCCTTCAAATTGCTGTCATTGAATGGTCAAAAGCACGTAACATCGTGTTGTGGGAAACGAAACTGTACCGGTGCTTTACTTTTTGGAGAGTACGGTTTGATTCGTAATGTCCTATCTATATGTATATGTATCTTTGGTACTATTAATCTATTTTTATATTGAGCCTTTACTGTTCCTTCTTGATTAAGAGGCAATTTAAATAAACGCACATTTAATTTACGAACAGAAATATACACAGTTTTATTTAAGAAAAAATATTTTAATAACTATTCGAATGTTTATATAAAAATACCATGAGCTATTTTATGGAATATACTAAACAAAGTTACATCTTCATTCCACAATAGCGATCAATTTCTACATTCCAATTACAACGTAGAGATAAACAAAATTAATTATTTTTGTATTCAACAGAGTGCCTTCGACTTAATTCCAGAGAAACAAACGCACATCCTCGGCTACAATACGACGCAAATTGAACGAACGCTTTCGTTTTTATCAATAAAGCGCATTCGTCCACTTTGTTATTATTTTTCGTGGAAATCTTTTTCAGCTTCTCTTCACAAATCGAAATATCGCTTTAATTACAATTTGTTTTAACATATGAACAAAAATACTTATAATGAAATACTCTCGAAAAAAACAAAATAAGGCCTTTTAGTAAACAAATGTATGAAACAAAAATCTATCTCGGATCATTATGGTAAACAAGATTACATTTAAAATTAAAAATAGCGCCATCTAGTTATAAATTTAAGTAATAAATAGAGTATTTGCACGTTATTACGTCAGAAGTTGCGTGCAGCTCGGACGCACTTTGCGAAATTAAGTTGTGAAAGTGGAGTTATCTTCATCCTGATGTTGAATGAACTTAAACCATCCTGGTCACGTGTGGAATATAAAAGAGATTGCACACTACGCCAAATATTACGTTAAATTTCGTTACAGTTCGAATAATTGAGGATTGACTACAGAGCCAGACTACAGACGCTTATTCTGGTCTCTGTTTTTTTCAAAGAGAATGACAAAGATGACAATATGTGTCAATATAAGAGTAGTCTAAACACACAGTCATCATTATTTTAAAGTGTTAAATTAATTTTAATTAAAAAAAAAAGCAAATACCATTTTGGTCAAAAAGCGAGTTAGAACATTATTCGTAGGACACACCGAAATATAACAAAAACACTAAACTCAAAAGCAGTTAGTGAATACACGGGCACATAAAAAAATAGAAAGCAATTGTTGCTGTGAAAGTAATTGCCATAGGTTTCGATTACATAGAACTGGCAAACGACGGCGTATGCACTTAATTGTTCTGTTATAGAACAGCTCTGCAGTTTCACGATAACCGATTTGAGTATTCTTTAGTTAAATGTATATTGAAATGGTTATTGGATTTACAACTTTAACCCAATACAAATAAGGTCGTAATAAAAATCAACATCACATATTAAAACGAAACTACAAGAGGGTAGATCAGTTCAGATACATACATCACCTCCCTGTCATCGTCTCACTTATGTGATGTAAGCACTCCAAGTCTACCTTGGTGGATCTAGCGTCCATCATTACAGTTAGTCCCTTCTTAATCATGTTAGATATTTAAATAAACGTACATATTTTGAACATCAGGCAATAGTAGATTAAAAAATAAATTTCATCCGGCAGGTGAGCAGGGCAATTAATATCACCCAATTGCGTTTAAAACAAGCGTACGATGTCACCGGTTGCACAATGCGTTTTAAATATTTCTCGTGACGTGACGTCCTTGTGTCGTCGAGTTGTCGCGTCACCGTGTCGTAACGAGTGGCTCGCGAACACATCAACGTCAATTCCTTATATCATCAATTACATGTAATTTTTTCATAGTAAATTGATTTAATTAATACGAAGGTTTACTGTTAACTTTTATCTACGCTTCCATTGCGTTATAGCGTTCGTTTGATATAATGATATAATAAAAAAATTGTGTGATGAAAACCAAATAGTTATATTGTATATTATTTTATTTATTTCTCTTTTGTCTCTAAACTTTTTGTTGCTTTAAACTGTAGTAATGTATGCTACCTTAAGTTTGCAGTGCATTATAAATATCATTATTTCTAATATTTTCAAATGTATAACATGAACGACATCAATGTTTTTCTAAGATACTATCGACTCGTCTCATCAATAAAAATATTTATAATGAGATATAATATAACAAAAGAATAAATACAGAACGTTTTTGAAGAAGCAAAGATAAATCTTGCCTACTTTGAATCATAAAAACAGATAGATAAAAATATTTAAGTTTGTCTATTTATGCCTTTAAGAAGGTTTGGAGTTCTTTGAACTCAGAACGTCACGGTACGAGTCTTTTGTTATGGGAATTAGAATTATTTAAAAAAGGCAATAAATAGATATATTTTATAAACGCTGATATTTAAATGAAAAAAAAATCTTTTGATAAAATCCAAGATCATATTTTATATTTAAATTCCAATTTAAATTTATAGAAAACTTTATAAACTTAATTTAGTTACATATAACGTACTTTTTAATTTTTTCGTAAAAAGTTCGCGGTATTTTTACGGCGAACCTAAATGTTGAGTAATCAAGTTTATACTTGTACTATTGACTGATTAAAGCCGTCCGTATATAACAAAACAAGTGTAAGACAAAGTCTGGGTTTCTTAGTCCTCCATATTGCTATCTCTGTTTTGTCAAAGACGGGGATGAAAATATGTTTTAGGCAGAGATTTTGGTGTGAGAAACTCATTATAATTTTTGCTGTAAAATAGTTTGAATCATTAGACCCTTTAATTAGAATAATTATCTATAACATTTGATCAGCTTAATATAATAAACATTTTAAAATAATTTATTAAGTGTAATAAGCAATATTATAAAATAAATTTAGGATTTTAAAACGATCAAAATGATTAGACTGTTTTGAAACATTTTTATGCGTTTAAATTTGACCTAATCTATAAATCTCATTTAATTACCCTAAAACATGATTACTTCTCATGAGTTAACGCAATCGCTTAAATAGTATGTAAATAACCTCGATGAGAAAAACAGAGCGGCATAGTGCATTTATTATGCTTGTCGTATGAGTGTTGGGAAAATACACGTTATAAAATGATTCTTAAATTACAATTACACAACAATAGTCATAGTATACAATCTACCTTATTCTAGGGCGTACAAGCAATCGAGTTACTTGACATTTAGCCTCTCCACCTCCCCTACTTTATTAAATTATTGGTAATACAAACATTAGATTGTCATTGTCTTGGCAGTGCGATTCTAGGAATTATTAAGCATATCCTGGGAAATTCCCGTTCCATGGTATATAATTAGTATTTGATGAAACGTTTTATCGGATAGTGCTATAATTAACAACCACTTTAATAGTAGACCGCAGGCAACAATACACATTGGAAATGCTTTTTTCCTATTTCTAAAATGCTACTGTAATTTCCATAAAGCAAACCTAGATTATAAACATACATGTTTTGCTTATATACGTCGTGTTCATTGTGAGCCGAACTCTGAGCCATCAAACTGTTTATTAGTAAAAACAAAAACGTTTTAGTGTTTTACAATACGCCGTTGCATAAACAATGCTACAGTCACGTGGTATACGCCGAAATAGCCTCTATTTTTTGACAATAAAGAGTAATATAGCATCCTTGAATTTGAAGAATAGTGTGGAGAC